TCAAAAGAAACTCCCTTGAGGCACAGTTGAGGCCATCCTTGAGTTGCTGCACAGTCAGCTAGATTATCTGTAACTTCTTCAGTGTTTCATTACAAAACAATTATTTCTACTCACAACACTGAGAATATGCAGAGCTTGTAGTCATCATGAAAATGAAATACAGTAAAATTACGAACTGTTTACAGTGGTAATGAAAGAGGTTTTGAACTGAATGACATTGATTTTGCCATATGCAGAGCAATATGCAATGAAGCACAGAAAAAAATATGTATTTTGTCTGTTTTTTCTTCTCTAAGTATTGCTATTTCAAATATAATCTCATGGTGTAATAACTTTACTTTTTATCTTTTCTGCATATTTATTGTTCAAGGTAGTCCAGAATGATTTGTGTTGACAGCATTATATAGCAGCCATCATGGTCTCAACAAAACCTCCAGAATAGGTTGAATATAGGTGATTTTTCAATTAAAAAAGGAAAAGAAAGAAAAAAGTACTCAGTGTGGTGATTCTTAGATTTATTGTTCCAGGCTTCAGTTAAGCTGGATAAAAATTCTTTGTAAAAACCTCAGAGACTGAGGAGTATTGAAGTCCCCTTTGCTTTTGATGACCGTTCACCCTAGGAGGCATCTCCAAGAATGAGAAATTCTACCCACAGGGGCTGAGCTGGGCTGGGAGCTGGAGGGATGGCCACAGCCCGTGCGGTTATATCCATTCTAGTCAGACACTAAGTAATTTGGTTACCGAGAGTATGTCATGTCAAGGCCCCGGTAACCAAATTCTAGTTCAAAACCACCATAAATATAACTATACAATATACCTTTAAACACTCTGGATTGATTATAGGAGAGACCAGTTTTCCTTTGGGCAGAAGTCATTGCAATCCTCACTATAAACCAAGGGCTTGATATGACTCCTGCCTATGTCGGTCAGTTTTTCCGAACTTTTGACTGTCTTTGTCTTTTCCGAATTTATTCTCTTCACAGACTTTGAAAAATCATTTACTTGAGAACTGAAAAAGAATAAAATACAATGTTTTATTAAATTTCATTTTACTAACAGTGAAAAATTACTTGCTCTTTTTCTTTTTTTTTTTCAGTTGCGTCCCTTGGCTCATATTTGGAACACGTTTTGGGCCACACCTGGATTCTGCAATAAGCTTTCTGTCATATTCAAAGGGCCAGGCTGGGGACCAGGCAAACCTAGACTTGGCCTTCCTGAGGAAATCCCAGTGGTAAATAGAACATGCACAGGCTTTCAGTTTTGTGTAATTTACTTGGACCTCTTAATGCTACTGGATCAATGTTAAAAAGTCTACACATGCTATTTTAAATTAGCAAATTAGCAGTCATAAAGCATAAGGGAAGATGAAATCAGAGGAGAAACTGAAGGAAATGAACGTTTTAGCTGGTTTTTTTCATTTTTATTTGAAGGGAAGAAAAGTATTTTTAAATTTATCTTTTCATTATTCATTTCCTAAAGAGATTTCTCCTTTTCTTTTAGCTGTAAACGTACGCACGCACACACACATACAGTCAACCTCTGTCTCATACTAGCTAGTACATAAATTAGACAGTAGATTATCTTTGTGCAATTATCTCTGTCTCTTAATCTTTTTTATGTTTGTGAATATAAAGAATACTAAGGAATAACAGGCTGGAGCACGTCACTGTTGAAGGTTATTATCTGTTTTCCTTTATACAGATCACTGGAAAAGAAGTTCCCTTCAATCCAAGTGTACCAGCTTATGTTAATTGCTATGCAGTTGTACATTTTGCTGTAATAGTGGACTTTTATACCGAGCTTCTTGGTACCGTGACTGTAAGTAATTGCTATCTTTATGAAAAAAATAAATTTTTTTAAAACTGTTTTTTGTAATATTAAAATACAACGTTTGATATGGTTTATTAAACAATATTTAATAATTCTATTAATTACTTACAGATTGATATGCTTAAATTAAGCAATGAAAAAGTAATAAATGTTCTGTAGAAGGCAGATCTGTTTCAGTTTTTAGGACGTCATGAGAGGAAAAATGTATCTCAGACTTGACACTACATAGGTTTTAAGATGTCAAAGTTAGATGCCAATAATGCCCAAGCTTTAGAAGGAAGATTGCAAAAGTCCTGTGGTGCTTGCAGGTGGGCAGTTTGGTGTCAGCATGAGTTTAGGAGCATAGACTCAGGGCAAATCCTTCTTCCAATACTGAAGGTACAGCAGCATTGGTAGAAATACAGCAAGGAGAGGCAGACATTTGCCACCTCACATTTGAGGATCAGGCTCTCACTGGTAATGCGATGTGGTTCCTCCATGGATGACTGGCAGTCTCTGACGGTGAACTGCGAGGCCATCTCCACCTTCAAGAAGTGAGACATTAACTGCTTCCATGGCTTGACCCCTTCCAACCTATTTTTCATTCCTTCTTCCTTGACAATTCTTTCTACTTTACCAAAGTTAGAATCCTCTAGTCATAAAGTGTAATTGTAACCCATCTAATATCCCCACAACTCAGTCAAATACCTACCAAAACACCAAAGAAGTCTATTGGTATGATAAAATCCCCTTCAGCCACCTTGTTAAACCCTTTCTAAGAGTTTCTTGGTTACAGAGCAATCCTATCGGTGTGTTTGTGCCACCTGCCTTGCCACCGGTCTGCTCTCAGGCTGCCCAGGGGCCCCTGGCTTCTTTGTCCTCTGCTGAAATAAGGTGTCTAGAAATTAAGATAAGAAGAATTTCTTCTCCAGAAGGGTGGTTGGACACTTGGACAAGTTGCCCAGAGAGGGAGTTTTTAAGGCCAGGCTGGATGGGGCTCTGGGCAGCCTGATCTAGCGGGGGATGTCCCTGCCCATGGCAGGGGGGTTGGAACCAGATGAGCTTTAAGGTCCCTTCCAACCCTGACAATTCTATGATTCTAAGTGTCTTTTGCATATGTGCCCATGGTCATCCATTAAGGATTCCAGAGGATTGCAAAAGCCATTTCAAGGCTGTTCGACCAATGGAATGATGCAATTTTTGAGAAGACTTTAAAGAATCAGTATTTTATGTAGCATTTCCACAATAATATAAAAGGTACTTCAGGCATACTCTTCTGATTAATATTAACTTATTCTACACATAGTGTTCACCTCTAAAGGGTCACACTGCATCTGCAGGGGATTCAGAGATTGCTAAGCCATCTGAGGCTTTGTCTGTTCTAAGTAATTTCTGAGGACAAGGAATTAAGCCAAAGGTAGGGAAAAATACCTCCAGTGTATACAAGGTATACAGCATACGTGATTGCCAGTGTTCCCAAATTGAGAAAAGCCTCTGCAAGATTTTCTGGGTAGGCTTCTAGATTCCTACATACCAGAAGCAACTCGTATTTGCATAGGGATCAAACTACGGGGATTTCATTTGGTTGGGGTTTTATTTTGTGTTCTTTGTTTACTTTGTTGCTGTTGCTTTTAGCAGCAAAGCGCAAGGAGTCTGCTCATGATTTTTTTCGTATTTTATTAATTTCTCTTTTTGCCTTTTTTTCTGGTCCTGAGAGGAAAAGTGGATGGTCCAAATTGTTTTCTCTGCTGATAACCACAGCTGTTTAAGAATAAGCAATAAGGGAAGACGAAAAATGCACCCAAGGCCCAGATAATAATTAAATTCTCGTATGGAGGAAACATCTTGAAGCTCCACCATTTTTGAACTTATTGTAGAAAAAACAACTAGAAAATTATCTGCACAAAACTGCAGGGTAATAAGGTAGTAAGGATAAGAAGGAGAGCACAGGGGACTAGAGGCACCTCATCTCAGGACATAAACCTTCAGTGTGGGTGTAGAAACTGCTGGTCCCAAGGCAGAGTTCCAGCATCACTCTGCAGTACAGTGGGGAAGCTGTCAGGAGAAGGAAGCTTGTGTATGAATAACTTTACTTGGCAAAAATCTTTCTTCAATATCAGTTTTCCACTACACTGAGTTATGAAATGTCTATGGATACAACTGGAACTTTCTGTCTGGCTATGAATTATGTCATAACTGTGGCATAGCTCCATAAATGGAGAAAGCTAACTGTTTTCCTCATTTTTAGGTATAAGTTCCATTTCATAATAGCCGTAAGACACAGCACATAGCTATTACATTTCTCAAGTGATTACAGTTGCTCAGTGTTTGGTCTCACGCCCTGTAGAAGTGTTAAATTTCTCTATTCGTAAAGAGCAACCATATACCTTCAGGCTGAATGACCTACATTTAACTTGTGAAGAGAGCAAAACAAGAAGGAACAAATATGTGTTTTCCACAGGAGAGAGCGTACAGTGTTTATTTTCTATATAGTGATCTGCACTATATCCAGAGAATAAAAATGACTTTTGAGCTCTGCACAACTAGTTCTGATCCAAAGCTCATGAAGAAATGGGATTTGGATCAGTCCCAGAGAGAGTGCTAGGAGTGTAAACTGCAGTACATTCAAAGCACAAGCCTCATAGCTCCAGAGCTGCGTGTATCACATAAATCAAAATGAAGTGTACCTTAAACACATTTTGCAGTGTCTTTTTTTAATTGTTGATAGATACTGTAACATTTACTGTGCTTATAATGCCATGAATGTGTGAGTATTTTCAGTGAGATGAAAAGTAGTAAGGGATAAGATAGATCTCTTGAAAGCTGAGAGCACAAATAATATAACCATTCAGTACTCTGTGTGGTATATTGCTCAGAATTTATAATTTTTTTTAGGAATTCTAAATTGAAATTAACTCATACAGACAAGGACAACGAGGAATACAAATTACAGAGCATTTTATTAGCATTCTTCATTTGAATGTCAAAAGTGTCTGATATATGACAGTGGGGCGTCTGTTAGCTTATGAAACGTGCTCACATCATTCCTAGCAGTTCTTTTGGAACACTGAACACATCTGGATGAGAAAATGCATCCGTCTTATTCCTCAAAAGGAATAAAACAATCTAAGTTCTTTGAAAGATAAAGTCAATTTAGAATATTTCAATGTTACTCTAAAGATTTTGAATAACATATCTCATTCATTTAAATGAAATACTTTTTCATTATTAAACAACCATAAAATAATAACCAGACTGTGGCATTCTCTTGATTTCAAAGCCATGTAAACTTCTTCCTAAAATCTATGACCCCCCCCCCTTTTTTTTTTTAAAGCTCCAAGATATTTTTAAAGCTTTCAATGAGATCAAAATCCAACAGAAATATTTTCTTCTGTTTGATTGCAGCCAATAACCACATTGCAAAGTTGTGGCTGACTTGTAATTGGGGAACCTGCTGTGGTCCCATAGCCTTCTCTGTTTATACAAATACTCCAGTATATAAATACTCATTTATTTTATATCTACATCCATGCATATTATGTTTAAGTGAAACGAGGATGCTAGCGCTAACGAAGGTGTAAAAGGCACATTCTTTTCACACTGCGACTTGCAGTGTGTAGATTTAATATATGATGTTTACTTTAGTGATATAACCCACTGACTATTTTGTTGATTTTGGTAGAGTAATGCCTAGAAAATGGATGCCTCAGCTCCAGCATCCACTTCACGGGGTGATACATGTTCGAAAATAAATAAAAGAAATAAGGCAGCATGTAACGATACCACTGGAGCTGTAAAAAGAAAGTTATGGAAACAAATTATAATGCTAAAATTTGTGCTGCATCACTGATTTTTTTTTAAAGCTGTTATTCCTAAATGGCAGCGTGATGTATTTCACCACAAATTTCTTGGTAGTCCTTGACTAGGAGCACAGGTAAGGGAATTCTGTATGTGACTGTGGTACATGTGTCTACGGTGAGGGGTAACTTACCCGTTCTGCTGTGGTGGTTCTCCGTAAGGCTTTATGCCTCACCATCACTCCAGAAAGCTGAAGACTTGGGAAGTGGAATGCTGCAATACTGTACTCGGGCGTTACAGTGCCATATGTTTGTGTGACTCTAATGATAGTGCCCATTTGCCATTAACTGTGATCTGCAGGTTGTACAGTAGCACCTGCAGTCCTTCACGTTCTGGGCCACAGATGGTATTAGACCTTAAGAAGTTTTAGAAACAGTTAGCGTTCAAAAAGTTGTGGTAGGAGAAAAACAGAATCTGTAAAATATGATCACATCTGGCTCAAGTAGTTATTATGCTAAAGAACCTCATATAGCATTTTGACCATTTAAAGACAAAGGCTTGTTTATATTTGGGTTTGGTTTTCCTAAATTATAAGGTCACTTCAGTTCTTCTAAATTACTAATATACATTAGAGGTTGTGGAAACCCCCTCCCTGGAACTGTTAAAGGCTGTGCTGGATGGAGCTTCAAGCAACCTGCTCATGGCAGGGGCGTTGGAACTAGAAGATCTTTAAGGTCCCTTCCAACTCAGACCATTGTATGGGTCTGTAATTCTATGATTGAAGTGCGTTTCTATTCTCATTTTGTTTTTTTTTTTCTGGAGATTCATGTTTAAAGATGAACTACAATTTATTAATTTCCTTTCAAGTTCTTAATGTATGCTTTCTTTTTCTGTGGTTAGATAAATGTGGAGAGCCAAATGATAACTCCAGTCTCCAGTTTTGCTTGTCTTAGAGAAGAAGTGTAAGAGAAGTTTGCAGAGTCACACTCCAAATTCTTGTATTCATTCCTTTCTTTGTGGAGAGAAAGCTGCACTCTCAATTACAATATTACAGTGTCTCTAATATCAAGCTTATAATTATTTTACGTTTCCTGAAAATGTTAACTCTAAAAGAGTAATTTTTATATTTTTCCTACTCTTCTAGTAAAATATATCTTCAATCAAAGAAAAAAAAGATAAATGCTATGAGAGAAAACACTACTAAAACAGGGCTCAAAAGTGTCTCCTTTGGCGAATTGTTTCCGTCATCTACTCAAATCCAACTCTTAGCGTGCGGACCAAATTTAGCCTCTGGACTTGCAGTCTATTAAATGGCAACAAATTGAATCCTGCAGAAAGTGCTCGCTCTCCACTGATTACAGAGAGAGCTTAGGTTATTAACAGGTTTTTAGGGAGCACGGTAAAGTATCTAAAGGAAGGTAGAATGAATCAGCAGCTCAACTTTCTGGAACTGTAATCACAAGGGAACCTAGGAGTTTGTACTGATTGTCTAATGCTAGCCAGCTTGGAAACACTGAGAAGGCAGAAAAGTGAGGAATCATGCAGCTATTTTGAACTGGAAATCGGAGACACCCATATTCCTTCATAGCAGGTACTGCTGGATCTTTCCTGGAGATAAATATTAACATTTGTTGTCTCAAAGTCATTGCAGATTCATTCTTTTTTCCATGAAGTGTGATTTTAGCCCTATATTGTGATGTAGCAATTATAGGACATACTTGAAATTTGGATTTGATGTTTAGTTCTCTTTCCTGCCTAGAGGAAGTACAGAACCTTACATTCCTTTTGCCTACCACTGTGGGTACCACTTTTTCCCTATTACTTCTGTAGAAGGTTATGCATTGTTCTGGAAACTCAAAGCAAAATCAATCCCACCTGTCCAGAAGGACTAAGATTGAGGACAATCTCTAAGGAAAAAAGATCTTACAGTCCTAGTTCCCTGCAAACTCTATTTGACAAATAACAATCATTGAAAAACATATCAAAGCATTTCTAAGAAATTTATGGGTGAGTTGCCTTATGCTTGTGCCAAACCGTTGGGGTTTTTTTGCTCACTTCTTGGATTTTTGTATGACCCAGTTTCCAGAGGAAGCTGAAGTGGGAGTTAAAGTTGCTGTGGCTAGATGAGCAGTTTAAGAACTACTCATTTTACTAACATTAAGTAGAGTCTGTACCTGATTTTTATAAAAAAACAGACCAAAAATTTTGTCACTTCAAATTGCTTTATGTCAGAAAGTCTTTTAAACTTAGGACAGCTGTGGGATTTTCAGATTTTCAAAAAGGGCAGCCTCAATTCAGTCTTTTTTGGGCAAATTTTGAAACTTATGCCTGGAATTTGCAAATGTATTACAAGTGATACAAAACTTGATAAAGGATTATAAGCCCATGGGAGCATTTTTTGCTTTCTTGACTTAAGCAAGAGTCTCAACACATGACTGCGTCCAGGGTTCAATATCTACCTCAGTATCCTCTCTCCTGTGATGGACTCATGCTCAGGGTAAGAGCATAAGAAAACTGTGAAGAATACCCTTTGTCAAGGGCTGTATGTAAGTAGATGATGGTGGTTATCATCAGTCTGAGGTGTTGTGCGTTTACTGTAAGGAGGGATGGAACAGACTGGATACTTAGCAATGCAGGAGTGAGTTAGATCTATCCTGGTGTAAATCTGCACAACAGTGGCTTGGCAGGTACAACTTTTGAGCAGTGTGTTCTGGCTTGTAAACTGGCGAGGCTGCCATTTAGCTCACTCATTGCTGGGATTGTTTTTTCTTCGTTTCATAGCTGTTTGTTAAGGCTATCTAAGTAGGTGCTTGTGATTCTACAGTAAAACAACAGAAACCTACCCAGCCAGGGTGTGTGGTTTGATGTGTTTTGCAAATATGGGCACTGTAAGTTCACACAGCTGTAAAACTTGAGAATATCCTCCGGTGGCCTCCCACGCTCACAGATACTTACCTTAGATCTCTTCGAGGGGTAGGGGCCACCACCGAAGGAACGTGGGCATGCCACTGAGTGGGATTTATTGAAATCAGGGCACACATTCGTAGATTTTTATTTTTCCAGTGCTTGCAATCTTGAAGTGCAAGATGCTGTTCATAAACCTTGTTGCTATTGAAACCAGAAAGGATTCCTATAACTCAGCCAGATCCACTACTTTTGTTTTGGATTTTTTTGTTGGTTTTAAATGAAAAAACAAAGACTTTTCAAAACTAATATTTGAAAGAAAGTCAGGGAGGGAACAAGAAAACTGATTAAATATTTGATTTTTAAAGACAGCTGTGCAGGATACAAGAAAATATTCTATAAATGAAAAAAATGCAAACTTTACAATGAAAATAATTTCTGTTTTCCTGAGTTTTGTTTCTATCATTCCAACGTAAAATTTAAGGACATAAATCCTCATGCTGCTATTCATCCAAGTACTCACACACATGTTAATATTTAGAAGAGTTTTAAGTGTCGTTGAAGTTAATAGTATGAGTTGAAGAATCTGGAACCAAGTGTCAAGTTGTCATGAAGGGACAACGTTAATTTTATTTCATCTTAAATATGGTCATGTTGTTATGTAATGTGAGTTCTTATTATTACCAGTGTAGTAGTTTTGGCATCCATTGGGATTTGTAAATGGCTGTTGTAAAGACCTGGTAATATAAGATGAAGAAAACCAACAGAGCTGCTGGAATTTTTGTCTAAAAAAAATTTTATTTCCTCTTTGGTAAAGGCATAATGGAATCTAGTAACTCTGGGAAAACACATAGTGCAGAAGGGAATAACTTAAAAATTGTTTTGAAAATAATTATTTAGGAAACAACAGTGAAGATGGTTACTCCAGATAACTGAGCTATCTGCAGCAGGTATTTTTGTTGTAAAATCTAAAGTAACAAAGTATTTTAAAAGCAGACACCAGCTTCACTGACTGAGGAATTTGAAGCTACTGTTTTAAAATTCATTTTTTCTTCATTAAATTACTCTAAATGAATTCTTTGGCTACTTTCTAACAGACATTATCACAGGGAACTATTCTTCTGAGAATTGGCTTTATCATTCTGTCCCTGACTGCTTTTGGACTACTTATGGAGAACAGGTAAGATACAAAAGATGCTTTTCTTCTTTTCTTCTTTTCTTCTCTCATTACACATCATTAATCGTTATATGGAAATCTCAAGTGTGTCAGAAATTATATTGATAAAGAAATATAGATGCACTCAGATGCATACATTGCTGTCTGTTGACTGGCAAATAACACGACTCTCCAGCACTTAAACCCAGGAGTGTTCCCATAGCAGTTAGCGACTATATCTATATCATCCCTTGCACAGAAATGATGGGATGGGCTATTCATGTCACCCTCTGTGCTTGGATTGGTTGGGTCCACATCTCGGGGTCTGGGACACTGGCAGGCTGTTCAGGTCCGGCTGTGTCAGCCTGGTGCACCATGCTGTGGGTGTCACATACAGTGATGGTATGTGGAAGGCACACAGTGTAGCTCAGAGTAGACTCAAAATCATGTGAAGGATGGTGTAGACTTAAGACTAAATCTAGTTGGTATAGATTCAAATCAAATTGGATCTTGCATACGCCACCCAGTGGGACATACACTAAGGAAGCAGTCCAGGGCCGGTTAGCTCAGTCAGTTGAGCGTGGCGCTAACAACGCTAAGGTCACGGGTTTGATTCCTGTTCGGTCCCCATGTGTTGCCTGATCTAGTCAACAGGTGGTGTCCCTGGTGGCAGGGAGGCTGGATTAAAATGATCTCTAAGGTCCCTTCCAGCTCAGGCCATTCTATGATTCTGTGATTCTATGATAAGGGCACTGTGACGCTACAGAAGAGAAAATAGCAGTTTCTTACAGAGAAGCTATTTGCCTTGTCAGAGAAGAAATGTTGAATAGAAGCTTCCTTTGAGATTAAGGTGCCAGTTCCGGTACACACTTCACTGTATTTTCAGGAAGGAATACCTTTCACTGGTATGGACTGAACAGTTTATTTCAGAGTAGGTAAAAATCTGGCAATATGCCAGAGATGTGGATAACTCAGGTTGTTCATAATGTAAACTAGTAAAAATATTGCAGAAATTGACCAGTGAAAAGGTTCTGAACTACTTATGTGGCAGTTTTCAGAATTTTGCTGTTGCCATTTTTGACACCAAAAGACAGCAGCTATATGCACAGCCACATTTGTGTGAGCTCATGTGTAGTTTGTATGTGTAGTCTCACCCCCTGCAAATTCAGTGCTGTAAGTCCATATAAGGGGTATACTATAAAAACATAAATATAAGGTTAAGAAAGATGACTTGGTATAAGTGCAGGACATCACAGACTAATTCTGCATTCTCTTTTTCATTGAATTAACAAAGAAGAAAAGATTGGACATTAATCCGAGATTCTTTGTGTTTCTAGACCCAAAGCAGGAACTTTGGAATTTCTCCGCTGCTTAGTCTTTGTAGTTGTCTACAAACTTGGCTACATAAGGAGTCAGTTTTCTTCCTTGGGATATGCATATGAGGTGAGATATTTATTTTGAATGTCTTTGCTGAGGACTCCAGATTTTTCATCTTTTTAGAAAAAACAGAAACACTAAACATTTCTATTTTACTTCCTTATTTTTTATCATACTATTTGAGTAAAATATTTTTTTCTTATCTCTTCATTTCTTACTTTTAACTTCTAAGAACTCACTTTTAACTTCTAAGAACATTGAAGTTTGTTACAGAGATGCCGACTTCCATTGCAAAAAATGTGTGGAAAGTGTATATTTACCATTTCTTGAAAAATTAATATGTTAGTGAATAACAGAAATGTGTTACTGAATTTGAATTAATTAACTCACATTTCATAGGACAAATCTGAAAATCCTTGGAGGGTGGGTCTTAAATATCAAATATTTTACTTAGTACTTACACTTTACCTCAGAAACAGGCTTTTAGTCATTGTCAGTAATGGGATACTGGACTAAGAAGACCTCTGGTCTGATTAAGTGTGGTTACTTTTGTGTTCTTAGGACTTATTTTTATCCTGTTTGTGCACTTTTCTTTTTAATCTACCTTTTTCTTTTTTTTCACTACCATTGGCATTTCACAATAAGCCTTTTAATATTATCTGAATTAAATAACACTGAATCATTCGTGTGATTCTGACCTGAATAACATTCACACGATACCTGGTGCTGGTTATCAACAAGCTTATGAGTGGGTAGCTAGACTGGTAGGACTGTTATCAGAGAGGTATCTTTTGTCTTAAAATCAGAAAAAATGAAGTAAACCAGTAGAAACTGAGTCTCAAACCAAGTTCGGAATGGTTCCTTGACTTGAAACATTTACAAAATTTGTAGCAACTTTCTTAATTGGAGTTTCTGGTAGTGGTGCTGATTCTCCTGCTTTTCTAAGAGATCAAGCAATAGAGGAATGGAAGAATATGCTACTGTGGGTATTGTTTTTTTCTTTCGTCTTTTTACCTGAAATGGGAAATGATAACTACTGGACTGTTTTGATTTTTTTTTCTCATATTGTTACATTATCAAAGCTTTGGTGTGTAAATCAAACAGTTATTGAATTCCTTTGATAAGAGTCTGCCAGAACTCAACAGATATTTTAAGTATTTTACTTGCTTAAATTTAATCTGGAAAATGTTTTTACTGAGCAGCATACTACAATGAATAGTCTTGAAGCAAAGAATTCTAAAATTTGGCAATTAATTCTATATCCCTGGAGATATATTTTCGGAATTGAATTATTTGGGTATTCTAACTGAATTTGAGGAGAATTATTTGTCAAAACAAACACTCTGCATTTAGAAAGAAAACAAATTCGTGTGCTTGCCCTGCTGAGGTGTGTGTGTACATGTCTAAAAGTGTCTTACTCAGAAACAAGTGGAAGTAAAATTCTTTCTATTGTTCGTGCGGAACTATACAGCTTGCTGTTCTTTCTAGAAGAATAAAAGTTAAATGGTTCTTATTCTGTTCATTAGAGGTATACATCATTAAAATTTTAATTTTAGTGTCATTTCAAGTTCTTCTCTACTGTATTCCTAGCCTTTCTTCTGTCTAATGTTTGTTCTTTTATCGTCTGTATTATAATTTTGTTACTCTTTTTTTTAGTCACTTTTTTTGGCACTGATTACATAATTTTGTTACTCTTTTTTTTTTAGTCACTTTTTTTGGCACTGATTAGGTAGTCCATTTTTAACAAGAAACAGGAGTACCTGTTTTCTTTGAAAATACTGGAAGAACGGGTATCTTCCAAATCATTTGCTCTCAGTGATACCAGAATAGATAATACTTCTGAGTAATGCCAATATGTCAGCACCAGGGACTTATTACTTTATCATAAACCACCAAGTTTGTGATATTAATAACTTTTGTGATCACAGAACCATAGAATAATAAAATAGTTTAGGTTGGAAAGGACGTTGAATGGTCAACTAGTCCAACACCCCTACAATAGGAAGGGACACCTTCAACTAGATCAGGTTGCTCAAGGTTCTGTCCAACCTGACCTTGAATGTTTCCAGGGAATGGGGAATCTGCCACCTCTCTGGGCAACCTGTTCCTGTGTTTTGCCACTCACATTGGAAAAAATTTCTTCCTTATATCCAGCCTGAGTGTTTGTGATGAACATCAAGGGATCCCACATTTTAATCTAAGTGATCCGCTTTGGCTCTCAATGCACTGTGCAATTTCTGGATTCACGGTAGTAGTGTTTTTATGGGTGGTAATATTGTTATAATGGGATTTATATTGACCTGGTCGTTTTGAACCATCAAACATAAATAAATGAATTAATGGTTTTCTCAGAAATTAGCTCTAAAATTTGTCTTAAAAATTGTTTCTGTTCAACATTCAAACAGGTTGTCTATCCTTCATGTAACAGTGTAGATACTTGGAACCTCTTGTGAGGTGTGGAGGCATAGATCTATCTCAGAAGCAATTTCTGTTAATTTCTGCTACATTTCCTAGTAATTTTTATCTGCTTACTTTTCAATTTCCTTTACTTTCAAATCTGCTTACAATTTTTGAAGGGTATAAATTAAAACACTTATTTAATCTTTTTGTTTGGATCATGTAAACATTCCTAGATTTAGCTGAATTTGATCTTTTTAGTGTTGTATTTCTAGTACTCATAACCTGTAATATACTTAAACAATGCCCTCCTTACATCATCATCCTTTTATCAAATAAAAATTCTCTAGTAATCCAGTATTTATGAGCAATAGGAATGAGTGCACAAAATCATGTAAAAGAATTCCTGTTGTCTGGTTTTGTGTCTTTAAATTATGCTTTTCAGGGTACTTTGGCATGAAGAAAAATGTACTGCAAGAGGCATGATGGCACTATTCGATGTGTCTATTATTTAACAAATAGTCCTGTCCCAGCATTCTCAAGTTAATGGTGCACATTGCAGCAGATAAGTGCAAGACTGATTTTGCCAGCAGTATGTTGAATGATTAGAGAAAAAGAATGTGACTCTCGTCTATGCATGGTGTTTCTGTGACTGTTTCCCATGTTCATCTCTCTCATGAATATTTTAGAACCAGCTTAGAAGATTTCAGAAGTAAATATCATCGCAGGACTATTTGCAGGGTACTCTAACTAGCAAAAATAAATCATTGAAAATGATTGGTCTGACAGTTATCAGAACTACTGCATGGGAAAAAAAGCCTTCTGGGTGAAAACCAGAAAGAAAATACAGAAGAAATGAGAGAAAACTAGAGGAGCAGTGAGAGAGGGCAGAAGAGCAAACAAGGAGCTAGCTTCTGCAGTTTTACCCTTAAATTAGCCCTAGTGAGTGTGACAAAAGCAGCCAGGGATGGTAGTTCCAGCAGCAGGGGCAGCCTTGCCTTGTTTGTTTTTTCCGCTCTGCCCAGCTAATTGGGTTAGCCAGCTGATTTACGCAGTCGGATTTTTCTTCAGGTCAGTGCTGCAACTTGCTGTGGAGTAAGAAGGATTCCTAATGCTGAGGGTAGGAAGTAAAATGAAGCTAGAGGTGTGTAAGAAGGAAGGACGTCTCTAAAGCTGCAATCTTAGCGGTTAGCTGAGTCTACAAAGTACAGTATTGGATCTGTTCCTACTTTGAAGTTGTGTGTTACCAGCCTTGGTTTCATGTCCAAATCATGGGGTTTTTTTGATCATTTAAAGATATTGTCTTCCCTGCTATTTTATTTGAAGCTCTTTTGAGATGTACTCTTGGGGATTCTCTCCTAATGTCCTTTCCATCGCCGAACAAAACAATCATTGTAACTTATCGGAGTTAGAAAAGTGTCTTTTTTTTTTCTTATGGGAGGTGAAATGATGCATGTTTCTTAGCCTGCATTTTCTACTCCTTGTGCTGTGTGTATTTCATATGGAGGGTTAGGTGAAAGAAGCAAGGGTTTTTTGTGTTTGGTGGTGTTTTTTTAAGGAATATACGGTGGTGATGTTTGAGGAAATTTTTAGATCTTAAAAAAATTGTTGCCTGGGTGAGGGTCACTGAAAGCCTTAAGCATAGGGGCATATTTGACTGGTTCTAGACAGTAAACTGAGGAGCTAATGTGTTTCTGCTTGAGGATATGTGCTGCCACATCCTACACTAGTTAGTTTTCTTTAGGCCTATTACTTCATTCCTGTGTAATGTGATGATCATGTGCCTTACTAAAGCCAAATCATTTGCTGTCAGACTGGACCTGGAGTCTCCTAACCACCTGGAGGTAGCAGGAAACATTGCTTGTGTGTTCAGTTATGTGACAGTTCAGCAGGCACGATATGTAAAAATAAATCTGTGAGGATGGTGCACCTCTTCAAAGTGTTTCCATCCAACTGCTCGGGTTTGGCATCAGCCAGCATATTCCATGAGCTGATTTTGGTCAAGCACTGGCTGTTACTTGACAGTAGTACTAATGAGGAGCAAGCAGAAATGAGAGCCATTGACGTGTTGTTGGAACTCTTCTCTTGAATGCTTTCACCAACTCTCATAGTGGCTGCAACTCAGTGCTGGGAAAGACTCCTAATCTAAGGGGCTATGAGTAAGGAAGCTGGAAGAGGAAATACAGATGTCTGTCTTGCTGTGCTTGTTTATCTTTTACCTTTGTTTTGGCTAAGGCATGTGTTTGAGGGTAAATCACCCAAACTCCTCCTGCACTGCAGCTTCCTGGGCTGCCTATCCATGAAAGGTTTGGCAGGCGTGTGTTAGTGTACAAGTAGGAATGACAAAAGTCTTTCATTGGGGAAAAGAAAGAAGAGTGGTTGTATGCACATGTGATATTTTAAATGTATAACTTGTTTTCTTTTTTTTTGTGTGGGCATGTGGTGCATTAGAAATATAACCAGCTTTGGAAGATATATAAATTCTTGTGCTACAGGCTATAATTCAGCCCTTAATGCATGAAGGCAGAAATTAACTTTGTTGTGGCCAAATTGCTTATTTACTTCTCCAGACTATCTAAACTTGGTAGATGCTCCAAACACTTCTGGAGATGGAGTTCTGTACCAAATGGACTGCGTCTCTGATCTTTCGTGCAATTCTGGTATTTCTT